ACAGATTATGTCTTGCAGTAGGAGGGCTGTAGGTTCCTTAATGTTTTACTCTATTCCCCCCCCCCCCTCTCTCTCTCTCTCTCTCTGTTTAATTGCCTCACATTATTGCTTATATCATCAGCATGATCACAATCCTAGTACCCCTGAAAGTGAAGATGAAGACATCCTCCCCAATCTGATGCGGATTGCCCATTACTTCGAGCTGTCGGGAGAGGGAATACAGCGAGAGGAAATGTTCCGAATATGGCTTGCTATGAACCAGTTTTTGTCCTCGGAACTCTACCCCATAGAAAACATTCGCCTTTGGGGGAAAGTGCTTGGGACCCGCAGGAACTATATAGTCCTGGAGGCAGAGCTGTCGGAGACAGAAGACGAAGAAACAAATTTGGAACAGGTGGGTCGGTGAATGTTGCGTTACAAAAGATATTTGTTTCAGCGTTTTTGCACCTACTTGAAAGCACTCCATTCCCTCCACTCCATTTTTAATAATAATTATTTTGATGTATTTCAGTAGCTTACATGTACATCATAGTATATATTCTTGTCTCTGTTCAGACGTCAACTCCACTGAACTCTCCAGTGAACTGCCAGGGCGGCACACAAGATACAGAGTCAGGTACAGGTTCCCGTTGCTTTATAACTCCTATTTACTTCTATTTCTTTTTTTTCATATATTAACTTTCATGTGTTTTTTCTATTAATTTATCAATTTTGTAAAGGTGATTTCCTTTTCCCAACAATTTCTTTTCGTGGTGTTTATAAACGCTATGCTAATTCTAATGTATGCATGTGGTTAAACCACATGTGTGATTATGATTCGTTGCCCTTGGTCTTCCACATACAGTTAGAACACACAAAATAATATATACATAAATACCTTTTAGAATACTGATGTCCGGTAGGTGTACCAATGTATTTGCCACTCTGGTAATATGGTCTCGTGACATAGAATTTCTCGGTGAAATTGTCATGCACAACATGATTGTAAAATATCACTGTTTAATAGTTCATGTTCAAAACCTCGTAGTCATGGTTCCCTGTGTTCTATTGAAGATATAGACTCGGATGTGATACCTACCACGATCTACAGACCCCCTCCTGTAATCCCAGCAGAGCAGAGTGGAACAGGGGTCAACAAGAAGACGTACTTTGTGTGCAACGAGCGTACGTATTGTAAACGTTTTGTTTTGTACGATAAAAACGCGTGGGTATTGTTTTTGTAACTTGTTATATTACATCGTCGTGCTAATGAAGGAAGCAAATAAAAGTACTACTGCAATTAATTTTACGATGGTGGTTACAAACCTCAATTATACTGTAGAATACAAGTGCGTCAGTATGAATATCAAAGATATTAATGCTTTTAACAATTTCCCAAAATCATATTTTCTATGTCTACATATTCTGCAAAGCTACTTATCGGTCTTAATTAAGACCTTAAATGCTATTTTTAAAAACAAAATAAAATTATTTGATGTCAATATTTCCTTCTGAAATTGACGGGAAGATGGCCATGATAGTCAAAATGACCAGTTAGAACAGGGAATTATATCCGATATAATTACCTGGTTAGAACTAAATTAACTCTGTGGCATAAAACATTGAATAAATGCGCAGCGACATGTCGAGTTATGATGCGTGAGGAGGAGAAAGTTGATCTTAACAATAGAAATTCGATTTGGCGGGGAAACCTCAGATAGGACAGAAAAACCAATAGCTAAATACACTAATAGCTAATGGCTTAAGTCTATGGCAGGTAATTATGCAAAATAACATTTAGATGACTAGATTTCCAAACGGTTGAAATTATTGGTGGCAGTTATATTAACTTTGTTTTATTTATAGCTGGAGAGGAGTGGATCAGACTCCCTGACGTCACACCGGCCCAGATCGTCTGCGCGAGGCAAATCAAGAAGTTTCTTTCTGGCGATGTGAACGCCTTGGTAGGTGTAATAATAAAAATAATTATTACTATTATAAAAATAATAGACTTTATTTAAAGAGGGTAAAACATGTTAAGTGCACACACCTATCTTACTTATGGTGTTACTCCCGCCTTCGATGTCTTACATTCTTGTGATTGTGAAGTATTTTGTTGTACATGAAGAGAGCAACACATTTATGTTTTTGCACTATAGTTATAATGACTTCCTTGTCTACATGTCATAAAAAGCTATTTTTCATAACATTAGCGCTTTCAGTTATATTTGAATGGTTCTAATTTTATACTGAAAAAAAATAATGTACTTAACACAATAGCAAGTATTTTACTCTATGAATTTTAAAACCTTTTGAAATAATAATAATACATTTAGGTGATATCAAATCCACCATTTCCTGGACACGAGATGAACTATCTGCGCGCGCAGATTGCCCGGATCTCCGCCAGCACCGTCATATCACCCCAAGGGGTTTACAAGTTTGACGAAGAGGCAGAGGGAGAGGAAGAAGAGGGTGAATGTTCAGTAAAAGATATTATCATTTTGAAATGCTATTTATTTATTTATTTATTTATTTATTTATTTATTTATTTATTTGTACTTTCTCTATGCCTTAGGTAAAACTTCGGTTTCACATATCATTGACCAAATACTTAAATAGGACCTTTGTTATCTTGATTTAAATTTACAAAATGGGCAAAATATTTCGGCGTTTTGATATGCAAAACACTAAGCTATTAAAGTATTTTGCAGTCCTGTTTTTTAATCAACACCTGTCTTGTTCAATTCACCTTTTCTCTTGCAGGTCGCGACTCTTATGTCCCAGACCCGGACTTTGAGGGTCTTACTATGGCCGAGCTAGCGGATCCAGAGATCCGGTATTGGGTCCATCATGTTCCCTATATTCTACCTCAGGTATAAAATATTTTTAATGTCTTCCAGGACAAATATTTGCTAAAAAGTTCCAAATCAAATCCAATTATTCTCTTCAGGAATTAGCACACAAAAGTAATGTCCATTATTTTTAGGGTCGGACAAAGTGGTTCAATCCCGTCCACCTGAAACACCAAGAAGAAATGGACGAGGGCGAAGAAGAAGACGAAGAAAGAGAGGAAGCAGATGAACCTGAGCCAGAAGTTGGGCCACCCCTATTGACTCCAATACTGGAAGATGAAGGTATTACTAGACTGTAGACGTGGTGATAATGGTAAAATATTTTTCCAAATGAAACAACATTAGACCAATTCGTTCGTGCTGCCTGTCTATGTGTTGCAAAAAGCTGTTGTGTCCCTGATATTGAGGTAGAAGTTTACTGGAAAAGAGAGATGAACAAGGGAGATAAGAGATTATTAAATATCGTTATTTTTTTTTTATTTCTTTATTTTTTTTATTATTTTTATTATTATTAATATCATTATTTTTTTTTTGCTTGCCCCGGTTGATCTGCATACCAAAGAGATTAAAAAGGTTGAATAAGGGGAAACGACGGCGCAAGTGGTCCTGCGTGCCCAGTGGAACAGTATATCTGTCATATACAAGTATAACATGGTTATATTGTAGATATTGACGGTGCCCCGCCCTGGGTGGCTCATTACTCTACCAAACTGGTGCCGGAGTATGCCGTTGCCATCTTGCACTCGTCCTTGTGGCCGGGAGCGCACGCGTTTGCTGTGGAACAGGGAAAGTATGTTGGTGTTTCAATTTGTGTTTAAGCACAAAGTAAAAGAACGAAGGGTTACTTGTCAAGGACCAGTAATATTTCTTCATTTTTATCTTTTATATATAAATCGTTTCTATTTAGTTGAGGTAATTCAGACTTGATCACCACAGTCTGCGATGCTAGTTCTGGTCATACACCAAAATTTAAAGCTGTACTATAAAGCTGTTTGTAAATTGGTTCAATAACTGGCCACTATTCCTGCTTTGGCCCAACTGATAGTTAGGCATTGCCGCACGAAGGGCCAAAGGCTTAAAACATTTTGGCACACATTATATCTTTACGTTTGCATTGAAATTTATAAATGGGGAAAATACCATGCATGTGCTTCTAAACCAAGAGATACCCTGCTGGATAACAAAACTAATGCTGGGGACTTTAAAAATGATTAAAATGAAAATGTTTTCTCTCTCAGGTATTTTGAAAACATTTACATTGGTTGGGGCATGAAATACACGGCCACGCATTTAGAGCCAGTGCTGCCTCCTCTTCCTCAGTTGGAGTTTCCAAGTGGACCGGAAACCACCGAAGACGAAGACCCAACACCTGAAGTCGAGGCTGCGTGGAGGAAGAGGCAACAGGAGTGGGCAAGAAAGATGGAAGAAGAGGCCGAGGCGGCAGAGGAAGAGGAATCAGACGAGGATGATTATTAGCGATTCTCATAGCTTCTGTAGATCGTTTCAAATTAAAACACACTATGATTTTCGGTTAATTATCTTTATTTCTCTCGAATACACGCAAATACATGGGCAGCTGTGTTTCCAATTAAGGATCGAGTACTTTTACATTTTAAAAAAGCCCAAGTGAGATAACTTTTTTTAATCTCAATATTTATTTTAAGTGGTATGTATTATCCTTACCCTGCTATAGTCATGAATTGCGTATATGTTAAATATAAGTTAATAATAATAATGATAATAAAAATATCATGAAAATTAAGGCAGTGCAGCACCACTGTGGAGTAGCAGTCTGGGCCAAATACTGTACTTATCAGTGTACCGGCTATCCAAACCACCAGAGCCTTAGCACCTATATTGGTCAGATTCAAAATCCACTGGTCAAAGTCTGGCTTTGAATATAATTTATTTACAAATAAACAAAAACTAAACAAAAAAGAACAAAACACAAATTAAACAAAAACATAAGATTATCAATAGGCCATTAATAATCAAAAGGACTGCAGCATTTAGTCTGCACATTCAAAAACGATGCGGAGTACATGTTGCAGCAGAGAAAATCCATTGGCTGACTGTTTTAAAGATATTTAATTGGCCTGGTCCGATTTTTACTGGCATTTACAGTCGGGCCAATGGTTCCCGTCGCAGACTGGAGCATTTTTTCTTTTAGTTCCCAGATACCTCGCCATTCATGGCTACAAATTCTGGCGAGATGTCTTCTCGGCGCCTGTTTAAAAAGAAACCAGTGGCATATCCATAATTCCACTGAGAACGTTTGTAACAAAAATCTGAACATAGAATATATGCACAATTCCTAAAAACGAAGACTTATATGTAAACGAGATATTACATTCAAATTTCATTTCAAATAAGATCTTTTTTTCTTTATAATTTTGTGTAGGGCAACATGTAATTTTCAGTCCTACGTTACAATGTATATGCACTATAGCTTAAAAGATCATACAAGTACAAAAAAGTCACGTACCCAGACAGTAAATCAACTCCAGTAAAATTGTGAATAAATCTGATCAGCTTCTGAATCACTTCTCTGTCTTCAACACGACCGAGTGGCTCGAGACTTTCCTGGAAAAAAATTATTAACATGATAGTCATTCACGAATTTGTATTTCAACTGTGATGGCGTTGTTATTTTTCCGGACGAAATTGAATTACCGTTTTTAGCAAAGTATTATCATGTAGTTTTCATCTTGATCGACCAAACGAACATCCAACGCATTACTTAAATAATTAACGTTTTTCAGCTGTGACGACTTTGCAAAGTTGCATTTTAGAAGTTTTGTTGGAATTAAAGGTAGACATTATTCGGTTCAGCTAACTTCACGCTGTAGTATACAGATATATAGTAATCTTTAGGTCCATTAAAAGAGACCTGAGATTAAGAGATTAAAGAGAGTATAGACATGTTTAAGTTTAAAAATTTACTTTAACATATATCGTCATTGTTAAAGAAAATTGTCTCATTTTAAAAAGTCTTATGCAACGGATGTGTTCAGATTATAAAGAGATTAAAACCATTCTGTGAATTTGTTTTACTATGTAAATCATTTTCTCACCACTGGGTCCACTCTCAAGTCTTCGAGCTTTGGATTCTCGGGTTCCTTGTAATTTGCAATGCTGTATCTGGTGGGCATCGTCTCAATTCCGGCAGAGATGGTGAGATTCTCCTGGTCTGACCCGACCCGACTTAAAACGACCATAAAACCAACAAAAGCATTAACATAACGCAGTCTTTAAGCATTATATCTTAAAATCATAATTATATATACAATATGTATAAAATTCCACAATAATGTTATTATACACAAGCTGAAATTTTCCTACCGTTGTTAGCCTAATGTCAACATGATCAGACACCTTCATAAGACTGATGTGAGTAGACGTTAAAATATATATTATATATGGTATTCTGGTAAATGTTTGCCATAAGCTATCAATGGTGGGAACATTTTAGCTTGTGTTCAATAACTTTATTATTGTTGGTTTAAATTACCAAGCTAATTGTGATTTGATGTTACAGATGCATTTAAAATTGTATCAAAATTATAATGAAATTCACGAACTTGTATTGCAACTGTGATGGCCCCGTAATTTTTTCAGGCGGGAGGTCCTCTCTTTGAAAGATCAATCTCAATTTGGTGTCAATATCCTCCACGATTTTCAAAGCAAACCTGTAGACAGAAATAAAGAAATAACATATGAAATATATGTATGCAAAACATTATCCTGTCTTCATTTCAATACATTCATGTGCACTTTTCTGCTTAAAGCTAATTTGCTTTTAAGTCCAAGAACAGAACCAAGTACAGAAATTTTAATTTGTAACTGTTATCGTTAAAATGCATTTCTGACCTACCACTTATCTACAATGTGGCCAACGATGGGTACAAAATCTTCGGTCACTGGCCTTTTCCCAAATAAATCGCCACATATGACCTTGTTGGTACCCTCACATGGGGTAAGCTCCACGGCTTGTATGGATTTGTGAAGTTCGAGGGTCATAATCCTCCCGGTTTCTCTGTGGCTGAAGGAGGTTGTGTAGTCTTGCATACTATCTTCCAGAGGTGTCTCGGTTATTTCAATGACCAGAGAGGCATGGTCGGTAGAGCTGGGATTCAAGACTACAAAACTATTTCCTTCGACCTTCAGAATCGGGACGACCACACTCAGTCCGCTGGTATACTGATCGGCATTTTCCCCTGTCAAACAAGAAACCACACCATGATCGCATGATTGTACTACGTATGGGCTGATCGTAAGCCTATCTTGTGGTAGAATTTGGACAAGACTGAGTAATAAATAAATTGATTCAATTACAACTATGGTGAAACCAACAGCATTACCACCCCTACAACCAGCCCCTACAACCTGTTCTAATTTTGTAAGCGTATTTTCCAAACTGCACTATTGTATATATCGTTACAACTGCTATCAATATCATTACATTCCGTATAAAACAGGTTATAAATATGATCAAAGTAACATACTTGTGTCAGACAGGGCGTGAAGTTTCTTCATCCTACAACTGTTTGCGTTGGCAACTACGGAAACTTGAGGATTGCAACCGTTCCTTTGAAATGAATATTTTTCGTTACATATCAAATATAAAATAAATTTTCATTTGGCACATCATGGAAAAGTATCATTTGATATATGAATTATTTTGTCAAAACTTCTATACGTGTACATATACCAGTAGATCTTTACATATTATGTAATCAAAAATAACTTACGACGAAAAAATAAAAATAAAAGATAACACAATTCACAAACATGTTTAATCTTCAATTTTTATACGGTTTTTCATTTTGCATTTAGCTAGCTTTTTGGTGCTATATTTTAATTTCGGAGTGATCGAGGGTAGGCCTGTCGCTATTTCTTTATCTTAAAGTGATAAAACATATGTAGCACGATAGATGGCGCTTTGTTGTCAAAATGCTCACATGCACTCACCACAAGACAACTCTACCACGCTCCCAGAGACTTTGTAACAATTTGTTGAAAGTGTCTGTCCACGGAGGGAAAAATTTCAGCACTTTTGCCATCATTTCTGCATCATCTGCCAAGTCCCAAGGAGTGACCCCATCTTCAGCCTTTAAAAGGAATGCGAAGATTGTTGAATATCTCTTCCTTTTCACAATTTACTGTCAAATTTCAATCTCCAAATAAAGTCATTCATTGGGTTTTTAAAGTGTCATCGTTAGACTAAATTGTCCTTAACAAATCTAAAAGTGGGCTAAAGTTAGATATGAAAGAAGTCCATTTTTTGTCGAAAATCATTTCACTGCACAAAAATTTAGTAATACAAAACAATGTTGTGCACTATATGCTTAAAAGGCAAAAAATGCCTTGTTTGTGCAATTATCAAGTTAAGTGAAAAGCATTCATCATATCAAATGAATTTATAAAACCTTGATTTAAAAAAAAAAAAACCAGTCTACCTTGATTTGTAGATCAGCACCTTTTTTTACTAGCATCAAAACAATGTTGAAGTATCTTCGCTCCATAGCGTAATGGAGGGCCGTCTTGCCATGCTTATCCCTTGCATTGATTGGTCTAGAACGCTTAAGCAAGTAGCGTATTTTACTGCAGTCTTCTCTGTAAAAATTGTTAAATTTGTATTGTATTTATTTTTTATCTAAAATGCACCCTTTTGCTTTCTTTCTTTTCAAATTAATTTAGATCACAAAAAACTTACTATAGTTTCAAAGCTCAAAACGTTAAATATATTTAAAGATATTCCAATGAAATTGGAGATATTTTAGGAAAATGAAAAAAATAGCACAATTTTGAATTTAGTGGTTTTTTTCCACTCGATATATGAATAAACTCACTGTTTTACTGCGTCGTGAAGAGGAGTCTCACAGTCCACAGGACATTGATATATCGCCTCCAGTTGAACGCGTAGGGGGAATTGTCCTGATGTCCCAAATTCACGTGGCTAAAAGAGATAAGGGATTTTATTTAGATGTTTGATTGATAAGGAAACCAACTCGAAAAACTTGTTTGACCTAAATCTATGGGATAAGTACACTTATTTATCTAGATACTGCTACTTTACAAAATGGAATATAAATTTAGGTCACCTGTAGCTTACTTTTGACAGCTGTTCCTGATACCTGCCACTTGAAAGTCACATTTAATCTTAAAGAGGCCGAGTCATTTATATATCTTTATTACATGTCACCTTCATAAATCAATAAATACTGCTAATCTAGTTTCATTTCCAGTGTAATATATAGAAAGAGCAAATGCGAAGTTGATACCGGGCAACCAAAACACAAAGGCATTTACAATATTTATTTAAGTCACATTACTTTCTCCATAAATTAATATTATATAGTGTATTTGTATATAATTCTACAATAAGAGAGTTAGGATAGGGTAACTACAGTGTTTTGTGGATGCCAAATACTGATGCTTTAGCCATTGATTTAAAAGAGAACAAGAGAGCAATGCAAACGTGAGCGTTAAATGCAGTTTTTGAGGTAAATGGAAGCGAAACATTCACAATACTCTGTGCATATCACGTACAGACAAAGAGAAAAATTATACAAGCTGAGACTATCATAAAGATCGATCTACATCTCATCAAAGGAGCAAAAATACTAAAAACACAGCACTCTATTGGTAAGCAAAGGAAAGATGTAATTGTATAGGTAAAAGGGCCAAAAAATTAAAATTTCATCTACCGTAATAATCCTCTGTGGGTTAGCTAAAAGACATGCATACCATTGACAATGGCGAATTAATAAGTCTTTCATTTCTTTAATTGATTGACATTTGAATGTGTTATAAAGGCTACCAAGATGATGAAAAAAGCTTACAATGTGAACTGGCGTCACATGAACTGTTCTTGCATGCTGAAACTGCCCAGTTGGATTGCTTTCCTCGGTTCCTGGTGAGATGTCGTTTGACGTATTCATCTTGCTCGGACCTGCTACGAGTATTCACTGGTACAATCATACATCATTTCATGATTATTTCTCTCAATTCAACAAGAGCTAAGTTAGAGTTATTAACTTTATTTTCTAACATTCCATTGTCTAACAGTGTAGAAACTTCTTATTAAGGGTATAAGGCTGCAACGAAGCATATAGCCGGAAAAAAATACAGTCTACTTTTAGTGTGATTATCGGTAGAGGACTTTAACCCCTGTGTTGTTTTGTTAGACACTTGAACATTGGAGCCGTATTTAATGAGATTTTGAAGCTGTTATACACTATGGGCTTTATCAGTGCTGATTTGTTTGTAAGGGATCTTTGAGGAATCGGCAAATTGAGAAGAGTTAGTTTATGAAAATATCTAAGCCATGGGTGATTAATCTGTGCCCCACATTTATGAGATAGATATCCGGAAGTCACACACACAAACATTATTCGTCTCATATAATATGCTGTTTTGGGGACATAAAGAAGAGTATGGTATAATTTCATCTTAATTGCCCTTTACTAAGACTCTTGATCAAAAATTTGTTGCAACAAGATCAACTTGTTATGCAGTATGCAGTTCAGTTGTGCAAATCTCTTAATAACTCGGTAAACAGATCAGGGGTTTTTTTCATGTCAAGCGAGGGAGTTTTATGCGACGCCGATTGATAAAATATCTTTTGAGCAGTTTGAAAAATGTATTGGGTCAAATAACTTTATAGGAGATGTTAACTGCATAAAAATGACAAAAATGAACAATAGGCCTATTCTACATTTGTCAGCCATTTGCGTAACGGATTGCTTACCAAAATATTTGCATAAAGATTTCTCAAAAACCATCAGTATTATAATTGTTTTCGTATGCTTTTAAAATGGACTACTTGAATAGAATTTTACATAACCAAATAGTTCTAGAGGCAATTTTTTCTACGCAGTATATCTGATATTACGAAGGACTCACCTGTAGAGATTTACCGTTTACGATAAAGCATACAGTTTGCGCATGCGCGATGCTCGATGACCACGATAAAAAATTTAAAAATAGGCCTTTGTGACAGGTAAGCTAAGTCTTCGATAATTTGTAGAGACAGATGTATCAAATCAATTTAGCTTTTGATAATATAATCTAAGTTATTGCTCATGTTATACTGACTATATAGAGTTTAAAAGCGCACTACCTGTACATGAATAAGTTATTGTATGGTTGCAATAGAACCAGACCTGACCTGGAATTCATACGCTGAATGTACTGCGTATATACAGGAGAGGTTTTGGTCAATCTTGCCATAAATATATTTGATTTAATATGTAGTTTTCAGATGGCGGATTATATGAAGACTGTTGTCCTTTTGCTGCTGTGTTTGTTGGTGTTTATTGATATCACCACGTCAGACGATTCGCAGTCAGCAAGGAGGAGGAAGTTGGCAGTAACTGATCTTGAAAAAGAAAGATGTCGCTCTCGTGCACAGCCTGGAAGAGTGACCATTGCAGTCCACTGGGCCTTAGCTATTGTTGCATCATTAATCGTTCAGTTTGTTTTGTCCATGTCAATGCTAGTCACTTTTGTAAAGGAGTGGAGTGACGCGACGGTGAATAAGAATGGCACCTTACAATACACGTCTGGTGGAAGCGTGTCCAAAAGCAAGTTTTTTGCCTATCATTGAATTTTCATCAACATAACTAAATTCATTATGCCTTATCAACACCGTTTTTACTGTAACGTTATCTCTTCCAGATACGGTGCTGATATCTAATTGAGTGGAATCATTAATTTCGAATTTGTTTAAATTACTATACATATTTTTTCATCACCTTTTTTCGATATATATATATATATATATATATATATATATATATATATATATATATATATATATATATATATATATGATTGCAATAGTGACCCATGTACTTGAATATCGAGAAAGAATGCTTAGACCAAAAACAAAGGGAAGTTTTTGTTGATAAATAAGGGAATTACGCCATATCAATGTATTTTGAAGTTCATTGGAAATTTGTTTTAGTTTCTTTAATATAAGAATTATGACGTAAAATAATTGAATTTCTTATGTTATACCTAATTTTGTCTATTATTTTTATCATTATTATCATATTATTTCCTTTTTGATAATTAAAAAATTGAGGGTGTTCACTTTGTCTGTCTTTTAGTTTCACAATCTATGACTGAACACAAAGTGTCGTGTACGTCGCATGTTCATTTGATAGACAGCACCAAGGAGGAAGACAGCACAAGAGAGGGGGGCAGCACTAGGGAGGGGGGCAACACCAGGGAGGGGGGCAACAAAAGGAAGGGAGGAAACACCAGGAAGGAGGATGGCACTAGAGAGAAAGATTCCGACGAGCAGGAGACTGATGGAGTAAACTCAGATCAGAGTGAAGACTTTTCAGGAGCAGGTAAATTAACGGGATTGTGCGCTAGTGTTTGGTAATCATTACAGAGTATACATGTACAGAACCTAATAAACTTTACAAGTATGATCTTTAAAAAAATAAAGAAATAAAAAACAGTTTTCCCCCTACTATAATTCCCTTGTCTTTTTATTTAATTCAAAAGCTATTTGTGAGGTGGGAGCATTATGTACACCAAGAACAGACCGTAATGATGGACAAGAGAGTGCCACGTCGAACGTTTTGGAGGTCGAGGAATTTCAAAGAATTAAGGCTGAAGCATGGGAAAATATTTTGGCGGAAGGTAAACTGAAACAGTTAAAACTTTTGAGCGACAGAATTTGTATTTGACACGATTTCAAAGTGATACCATAATCTGACGAAAAACATAAATTACATCAACCTGAGAGGTTAAATCATTACCATAAGTTTTATCTAATGCACTAATGCAGGATAAAAATCATAGTTTAGAAATGTCGTGATACGGACAATAATGTATATTGATTTTTCAGAAATGGTTCAAAAGATGACATCAGAACTTGGGGACGGCTTTGTGGATGAATTAAAAGATCCACTAGAACTACAAAAGGTGAAAGAAGAGGCTAAAACCGTGGTTAAATACTGGCTACGACAGCGAGAAGGGGTTCCTTTTTTGCAATTACAAGATTTGTACATTGATTGCAAAGAGGCGCAGTACAACATTAAGAAACAAGAGTAATTGAATGAATGTTTGATTGCAGTGTATATAGTCAGTAATTGCAGTGTATATAGTCAGAATAGACGTCCTGTTTCTTGCACTAAGTATTTTCAAAAAAGTTTATTCATTCCCGAGTTCAGGTTAAGGAAATGTCTGAAAGGCAAATATCAATTATACAAAAACAATCACTTTTTTGTACAGATTTTGCTTATAATCAATGCAATAAGCATTATTTTACATGATGATATAGAAATCTCATACTCATGTCAGTGAATTAAAATATAACGTGAATGACATGGACGTTATCAGATATGTGCATCTGTCGAACGCAATACTCAATGCTAAAAAGCTTCTGTTACTTCGGTTGTTATTGTAGGGTTGCTCATATAAAATTTAAGAATAAATAGTATTGAGACACATTGTACCTTTGCGATATTGTGAATCAAGAAAAGTTTCAACCTCCAGAATAGAAAAAACAGTATGAGACAAGAATGTTTTTTACGTCCCACAGACAATACTATAAGGATATTGGATTGAAGTCGACTTACATTCTCAACTGTCTATTTAAGCGCCACACAAAACCTTTGAATATTTTTTAAATGACGTTTGTGATCAAAATTCGGCGTTTTTGGCGATTATTTAATTTTTTGATAATGTACAATACACTATTCCTGTCATGTATTTTGACAATAGTGATTAAATTTATTTGATTATCTGTTTGTTATAACATAGACTGTATCTTATATAATTAGTGATCGGACATTTATAATATCAAAAATATTTAATAACGTTTCAACCGAAACGGTCTCTGACTACACAGGCTGTTTTCAATCAGTTAGTGCTATCGTGAATATAAAGATTTTTACGCATTAAATTCAGGTTATCTACCCCTGACTGAAAGATAAAGATTATCAGACATATGGTACATGTACAAACAAAACTGAAGACACGTGGCTTATCAATGTATGTATTTTGTCAGTTCGACGTAAATTTTAATGGATCCCCCACGTTTACGCTCCATTAAAAAAATTGCAAATCCTTCAAATCTAGAGCCTGACGTGTGCAGCTTAAGGATGTTGTGCCAAAGGTTGTTCAAAGAGTCACGAAATGTTGACGATAAGCTCAAAATATCTACATATCAATATATTTTAATTAATCACAGGCATATGCTGCAAACACAAACGAAAAACAAATTATTCTTTCAAAATGTAGCCGTCTTGGCACATGTGCCTTAACCGTTGTCTGCATCAGCCAGGCCACAATGGCGCCATAATCTGCCGCTTTAGACAAGTGTTTATATTATCGTTTCGCGGTTTAAATCCTCCAACTGAACATATTTCCCACGATGCTTCACCTCGTGAGGCACCGTTAAGTGCAAATTGGTAAAAGAGGGCCACTGCAAGTCAAGTGTTCCTATACTTCCAAAAGCGCTAAGGTAATCCATTCCGTCAGATAACGCATCCACGTTGTGATCATGCCCCTCGAGGGGTTCTTTTTCGTCATTATCGGCAAATTCATCATTTACTGATTTCGAATCCTCGTCGACATCGTTCCGTGCGCACCCGCATGGACAACAGAAGCACCACGTCCATTTTGGCACATCGTCTTCTAAGGCTTGCCCCTTTGTTTCTGGCAGGAACCATCCGGTAATTGCCGCTCCTATTGCGAAGACTCCGCCGATGATGAACGGATATCTTCTGTCGAGTTTTGACTAAAAAGAAAACAATTTCAAACAATTCTTTTTGTTTACAAATCAGCATGTAAGCTCTTTTTGAGGAGTTTTTTTTTCTTGGTGCCTGAGTTTGTCCGTGACAGGCTTTTTTCTTCAGATTGACATTTTGTTGCGAACCGACCGAGTGGGGTATAGCTTGTGTACGCCAACAAATTAAAATACGTTTTAAATAAAGTCTGAGATGAGAAACCCTCTCAGGGTCCACATAAATGTATACGCATATGTACTATAGCAGAATGAAGCTGAACACACAAGTTTTACTTACTAGATATACCAACTGAGGTGCTACTATGGATCCAAGCCGACTTCCTCCCATCGCTACGGCCACACCTATATCTCTGAAATCAAGGTCCAAGATATGTGTCAGTGCCGTAAACATCACACACACACGCACACATGCTACACTCGAGAATCAAATCTAGGCAACGCTCCATTAGGATATTAAAATGTGTAAACGTAGCACTAAACTGGAACTCCAGTATAATTTATTTCTTTTCTGTATATACCTAATAGGAGTTGGCAGCAGCTCTGATGAGATAATCATAGCAGCTGTCCAGCCTGTCAGAACACACGTCCGACCCAGTGTGGACACCAAGGCCACCGCCAACCACGCCGTCTCATAGACACCTGCAAATGTGAATCATAAAACCTTGTTCTTAAGAAATGAAATGTAAAGATACATATACNGGAGTACCTCTTATAAATTTGACTAAATGGTATAAAATATGTATATTTTTACCTCTATTTTGTATTTTCTAAACCATTAATCATGTTAGACACGGTATCTGTAATAAAAAGCACTATTTCTAACAATTTACAGCTGTGAGGTGATCATTTGTAATTAAAAGTACATGGAAATGGGGGTGGGACAACCTTTTTGACCAATGCTGTATATAAGAAGCGAGGGACAATGCATAGTGCAATGTTGGTGCATGCGTGTGATTTTGCACTAGTTTTTTTTTTTTTTTTTATACAAAACAGGAAGCCCCCCCCCAAGAATAAATAAATAAATAAATAAATAAATAAATAAATAAATAAATAAATAAAACTAAAAAGAAAAACCAACCGAAATTAATCTCTGTTGTCTATCATTAGGTTATCCTACTTGAAACTTTGTGATGGTATTTTGTAGGGTTTCGTGGCATTGATTTGATATAAATATTTTTTTAATTTGCATCTTTAAAGCCTCTTGTTTGAGATATGCGATATCGGTACCTTATAAATTTGTAAAAATAAACATTTTTTGGACTGAACATTATGAATACATGCCTGTTTTCTGGAATAGGGAGAGGTAATAGTCTTGGCAAATATGATTTTGTGAAAAAAAATAAAGAAATACAATATAAAGGAAAAACACTGCAAGGAATGTTTGGCCCGATTTTAAATCGATTGAAAATTTACAATCCTTCTTACCAAACACGTCAAGCAAGATGACAGAGAGCGTTAGGACCCCGCCTAGTGCTGTCAAGCCAATAAATGTCCACCGGCGTCCTAGACTGAAAATAGACAGGATCAAGTAATACCCATCACTGCGAACAAGGAAATGGACAAAACCCAGTGAACCAGTTATTTTTTATTTCAGTAAAAAGTTATAAATTATTACAGAAATATTTGGCATTTTGAGAGCTGTTACCTGTATGTTGGAACCCTTCTTACCAGTTATTGAGATATATGGAGAACAGGCTAGTAGGATAACCTATTCCAAACCCTATCGCGAAGTTAATCGCCTTGCCTCCGGGGAGATTTTTCACGTTGAACCCCATGGTATATACGAAAAGGGCCATGCTGAACCTGATTGTGAAAAAAAGTGGGGTCATAATAAACAAGAAGAGACTATTCATATATATTGCGCTAGTGTATGTCACATATACCAAAATGTCCTTTTAATTCTGCTATCATTAAGAGTGAAATAGTCTAACACTATTCACCATATTGGTACTACTGTACATCATGAAATATCACTCTGTGTACGTGTGTGGGCGTGTTAGGCGCGCATGTGTGCGTGTAAGCGTGCGTGTGTTATCGAGATTTTGACTGTGATTTGGTGGTGCTCTGGAGCTTTTAAACTAAAATCGTTTTAAGGGCGTTCATCTTAAATTGTACACACACACACTCCATCTTGTCAATGGGAAGTGAAAAAATATCCAAAATTGTAAAAAGCACGTTATTTTGAACGCGGTCACTCACATAATGTACGTTAACATCACGATCAACCTGGATTGTCTAGGGGTGCGAAATAAGTCATGAATTCTATAATCGCGTGTCTTGGCCTGGTTCTTATTGGCCTGGAAGAAATTTAGAAATAATTCATTTAAGATCACTTTACACGGTTTTTCACAGAGGTTAACCCCTTAAAAATTATATCAAATCCAATCTAACACTTAACATGATTTAGTTGTCCAAACCTTACTTTCTATTTCTGTGCAATGTGTTTGTTTTTCACTTTTTGTTCTCTCTGCTTACCGAAGAAAGAAATTTCAACTTTAACCGTATAAAACATCAATTTGAAGTAAGTAGTCTTTCCGTAGCACTCAGTCCTTGTAATTGTACTCACCTCATAATTTGCGACAAATTCTGCAAAGTCTGGCATTTCTTTTTTATTCCTTCTGGCTATTCTCTGCATGATTTCTTCTGCCTCTTTGTACCGACCTCTTGTCACCAGCCATCTGGGGCTTTCGGGAATATAACTGGAAAATAGAACGAAAATCTCCCATCAACCAATAATTAACCACGGGCGAGTTGAAAATTGTGTGTGTATCCTGCTTACATCCATTATTACCCTTCTCTGTTATTTTAGTTATAGTACATAGTTCTGGTCTTTGGATGTTATATGTAGTTGGAATCAATATAATATTGTGTGATTGTATGTATATTTTTAGATGTTGCATATAATTTTCGCATTTATCATTGAATAATTTACTTAAAAGAGATTACCAACAGACACACTATAAAAAAGCATTTGTTAAAAAGTGATACTGGAGGGTTGAATAACTCATTAATTATTATCAAAAAAGCCATGCTTCAAGGAAAAATTATGTTTTTGAAATGTGTTATCTTTAATCAACAAAACAAAAACTTACCAAAAACCTACAGTATAACGCTATTAACAACAATTTCAAACGAATATTGATGCATGTGGAATAAAGTTTTGTCAAGGTTCCCGATCCCCTCAAAATAAATAAATAAATAAATAAATACACAAAAAGCTCTTACAACCAAAACAGTAGCAGGGCCAGTCCGGGCAGTGTGGTGGCTAACATAATCTGTTTCCAGTCCTTAATAGTAAAGCCAAATGCCGCCAGTGCACCCAAGCCGACAGGCCACAATCCTATGGATCCGGTAAACGCGCGCCACCGGATTCCAATAAACTCCATGGGGTATACAAATCCAACCACTATGGTGCCTGTGAAACAAAAGGATATATGTGTGAATGAGGTTTCAAGATGAAAGTATTGGTGGTATATTGGTATAGGGCAATTTCTCACGGTATTTTACCAAGATATGACTGACTTGGCGGAATTTCGATATGTGGCAAATTTGGTGTAATACCGGGGCATGACCTGCTTTTTCAGTATTCTGGGACATGACAGTTTAAACAAAAATAAATATGTATACATTCTGATATAGAGATTCTGGTATATTCTGATATTGGGACTGTGATATAGAAAGTTTCTAAAACTTGTCTTTCTCGTATCTTTTGCTCTGAACTTTACCAATCTCATACAGCAATGATTTTTTAATTTTAATTAAAAGCACAGGCGTTACCATTTCTAATCTCAAGTTCTGTCTGCCATCCCCATTTATTCTAATGTAAGGGAGTATACATGTCCAGATTTCTTGTTTACCTACCTCCAAGACTTATGCCTGTGATAAGCCTCAGTATGGCAAACACATACCAAGTTGGAGCATATATCTGGGCAAATCCGGTCAAACACATAAGAAGAATACCACCGAACCACGCCTTCTTCCGACCAAACGAGTCCGCCAGTTGTCCGTAAATGAAGGAGCCAAAAAACACCCCGATCATCTGCAAGGAGGTGATCTGGTCACTCACTGGGGCCAAGTTGCAGACAAGATTCCACTGAAATTAAATTAATATAAATTTAATTAACAGTTCGTCATGTTCTTAATGTCTACGATTTATTCCTGTCACTGTCATTAAAGACTGAGTACAAGTGCATTGCTTGCGTTTGTATAGAATTTACGTGAAATTACTTGTCCTATTCATCCGAAGGTGCATACAGCGTTGTTCTTTTTACGGTTTTAAAGCTGATTTAAAGCTCACAAATGAAAAAGATTGCGTTTTAACTAATACATAGATTATTAACATTGCCATTCGTAAATTGTTGATTTTATGTTTATTTCAAAATGAAAACCCATTTATCCATTTTTCATTTTTTTTTTCTTTATTTTCTTTGGGGGCATAAATAAGGACAACTTGACCAAGACGCGTACAAACTACCTTTACAAACCTCTGTAACGATTGTCGATGATTCTGAAGTGAATTCAATTCCTGGACAGACTTGGTTATCTGCAGTGCAAGTATTATACGTGTACATGTCACTAGAATTTTTGGTAACATTTGACACATTTGACAGTGTGCCATCACTGACAATGTTGACATTGGAGCTGACATCGTACAGTAAAGAGTCAAAAAGCGTGGTGGAATTGTCCGTCAAATAGTCGTCTGCAGCGGAAGTGACGTTGGTGCGCGCGATTGGACACCTCCAACTGGCGTCGTCCCCCGTGAAGATAAGAGATAACATTGCCCAAGACACCGGGATATCAGAGAGTGAGATTATGAGGAACAGGCTCAGCTGATACCAGCCCATCTGACCTGAAATGCAATTCAACTAAATTTAGCAGATATGCCCTCAATTATATCTTTATCCTGCTTAACCTATACGTACTTGTACCATGCAAATATGTTCAACATACTTGTACTGTACAAGGGTATGACAATTTTAATAACATTTTTGTAATAACATGAAGAATGTATATATAGACATATCTTTGTCAATGTGTGAAACTCTGCATTCATTTCATCGAAATGCACAGCTGCAAAATAAAAAAGAAGTTGAAGAAACATGTTGTTGATCTACCTTAGCAAATAGTCAGAGGGGAGTAATATAGGCCTAGTTTGCACCTTTCGACCACCTCTTTCAAGGACAGCAGCAAGGTTTTTTAAAACCCTTGTAGGCCTAACAGGCCTAACGATCCTCGGTCTGTATTAGATATATTACTAGTATTGTTGTCACGGGAAAAAAATTCTATCGACTTCATTTAGCTAAAATCGATAATTATTAAATGTTACATGCTGTCATCAAGGTTTTATTTGGGTAATGTTACAGTGTGCATGAAAAGGTAATTTTGCTGTTCTTGAAAAACTGGCAGAATGGTACATTTTCGAACCAAGGGTCGCCACTTATTTATTAAATTGTATAATGATGAAAGGTTTATACTGGCACTACAGCACGGTCAGCACCCTTGCTATATTTTATATACCGTTATAGTGACCCATTACAACGTCAACCTGCAACTGAAAGAAGTGCTATTTGATACTATGATTATACCCAAAGCCAATTATGGCCTTGATATTTGGGGGTTACGTCATTTTGGACAAGTCTCCCGTGAAAAACGTACACCTTTACTGTTGCACACGGCTGTCACTGGTAAGTCTACCCACGAGTAGATGCTATGATGCAGCGCGTGGAGAGCTTGGACTTGGACGTTTCATCAAAACACAAACAAAATTGTACATGTTGTGGAGTAAAACTGTTGACTTAAATGAAGGTGTTTTACTATGTGAAACAAGCCAATCTTAACGATTCACAGAATAATAACCTTCTTAACATAAACAATAACCATTTATCGTGGAGTGGGGTCTTGAAAAAGATTTCGTGGCAAATGGCTATTTGAAGATGTCTGGTTTTAGCAGAAAATGTTCAAAATACAAAAGGCAGAGGAAAAAATGGAATTATTTAAGAGGCGTTAGTTGATAGTTATAAACAGTCATGACACCAAAGCATAAGCTGTAAAATAGTATTGCCAATTAAAACCAAAATGAAATCTACCTAGTTACCTTTAAGCTGGGACTGGACTCAAACAGGGTTAAAAATCACGTTTTTATAGATAAAATCAATAGTAAATTTTTTAACAAAAAAAACCCGACCCACTTTTGTAGTACTTCGTTCAAGTGTTATAATACCATTAAAAGCATTTTTATAGCTGTCCAGGTGCCTGAGAAAATCAGGAAACCGAAAATGTTTTTGCATCAAAAACTCTCAACATTACGTCACACGTCGAACTTGGAGCTGTGTTTCATTCACCACAATTAGATGTGTTGAAGATACATTAAATGAATGCAACAGGAATAAAAAAGCTAAGGCCTTTCATTTAAGATAAAATCTCCAACCTGCAGTCCTACCTTAAAATCAGCAATAAATGTAATACTTTGACAATACTGACTGAGATTCTAGCTCCTCTGTCCAGCTAACGGTGAACTATCATAAGGTAGGCAAACTCCATTTGAAATGTTAAAATGCCAGTGCAAGCTTTAGATGAATAAATTTTACAATCCTAATAACATAAAAACAAACTATAGGCCTTGTCGGTGAAGGAAACTCTTGTTAGGGCATTTTGTTTGTGTTTTGGAAAATCATCATTTTACAAGCCTAACCAAATGATGTGAAAAAAAGTCAGATATGTGTTAAGCATCAACTCCTACCATAGAAACAACTGTGTATCAAAACATTTGAGATTCAGCCAGCTCTTTACAATACAGGTATACACATGTATATACATGTAGTTACTAACGCTTTTTCTGCGTTTCCAGATTTACAGGCCTAAATAATACTCATGGCTCACCAGAAATGTCCTTTTTGACCTATTTGCCTCTAAGAACACCTGTTCTCCAGGTTAAGGTCATTATTTACCCCACCCTGCTACTATGACAATTTCAGGCAACAATGGTTATTCAAATGCGCAGTCGCATTTTCGTATTGATGTTGCAAATAAGGTCATTTTGCGTTAAGGCCACACTTTTTTATTTTTATGGATGACATCCTCTGGGTACCCCAAAATCGGTGCGAGAGGGCGAAAAAAAAAAAAACAGTCCAAAAAAAAAAAAAACTGCTTAAGTAAAGGAATGCTGTCAGTACACAGCTGGAAACACAAATTTAACCACAGAAACACGTATCAAACTAACAATATGTCTTTATCCATGCTCTCAAAATATTAAAGCATTGTGAATACTTCGTAGAAATGTAAAAAAAGTCATGAATTGATATACTTCATATTACCAAATCTATTTAAGGTTATTTCATGCATTCATTTGGTATAGCAATCAATAAAACAAATATCAATCAAACAGTGTGTCTTTATTTGTATTCTCAGAATATTAAAACATTTTGAACACTTCACAGAAATGTTTAAAAAATGATGCAAAGATATGCTTAATAC